CCAGCTCAGCCCGGCTCAGCTCGGCTCAGCCCAGCCCGGCTCAGCCCAGCCCGGCTCAGCCCGGCTCGGCTCAGCCCAGCCCAGCTCAGCCCGGCTCAGCCCGGCTCAGCCCAGCCCGGCTCAGCCCAGCCCGGCTCAGCCCAGCCCAGCTCAGCCCGGCTCAGCTCGGCTCAGCTCAGCTGGGCTCAGCTCGGTGCCGCGCGAACCGCGGGGGCAGCACCTGGACTTGCCCACGGCGCTGTCTCCGACCAGCAGCAGCTTCAGGGTGAGGCCTGCGGGGTCCATCCCCAGCACCGCACGGGGCCGGGGCCGGGGCCGGGGCCGGGGCCGGGGCCGGGTTCAGGTCGGGGTCGGAGCCGCCGCCGCCGCCGGGCGCCCTCAGGGCCCCTCGCGCCGTCCCGGCCCCGGCGGAGCAGCTGCCGCGGCCCCGCCCCTGAGGCGGTGGCTGGTGCCGGGCGGGGCGGGAGCGGGCCCGGCTGGAGCCTCTGCGCCAGGGGAGCCTCCGGCTGGCGGCGGAGGAGGCTCGGCCATGGCCGAGTACCAGATCTCGGTGGAGGAGCTGAACGACCTCCTGGCCAACGGCAGCGGCTGCTACAGCCTGCCCAGCGCGCACAGCAACGAGGTGGTGCCGCGCATCCACGTGGGGAACGCGTGAGTGCGCCGGGCCGGGGCCCGGGCGGGCGGCTCGGCGGGGGCGAGGCCGGGCCCGAGGCGGGCGGCCCGTGCGCCGGGTCCTGCGGGCGGGGCCGGGCCGGGAAGGGCGCTTTGAGCCGGGGCCAGGTCCAGGCTGCGGGGGGGGATCTGCGGGGTCTCTGCGGGGCCTCCCGCGGCCTGGCCCGGGCCGTGCAGCCGCGGGTCGCCAGCCCAGGCAGCCGTCAGTCCTCCTGTCCAGGCCAGCCTGCCCGCCGTCTGAGGCTCCTCCTGGTGACTGACACGGCAAACGTTAGGACAGCTCATAAATGGCATCTCCTACAGTGTTCAGTACCCTGTTCAATTCCCAAATCCCATTTGGTAAAAGTGTCCTGGTTATGAATGCCCAACCTTAGTTTTCCTGTCTGCTTTAATGTGTGTGGGTAACTTGTTCTTTGTTCTTAATGTGCTAGAACTGCAGCTGTGTTGTAAGGAGTACGGAAGGCCTCTCAAAATTAATATTAAACTTAGTGACTGTAAGGGAAGTGTTGGTGAGGAAACAATTTTGCATGAACATAACAGTGTAAAATAAAATATGTTAATATGCTGGCATTTTTGCCATTAAAGACTTGGTCTATTTGGTTATAATCCCATATGGCATTGGTTTATAGCTTCATGTACCCTTAATTGCTGATGAATAGTTCTCCAAGAGTTGTGTTTTGTGCCTGGTAAAATAATTCATCTCTGTTCAAAAGAAACACCTCTTACTAGTGTTACTCGTGGGATGAGGAACTCTAAATCTTCCATGTTGAGAATGGACAAGATTCTGTGATTTTTTTTCAGGAACCAGATGAAGCTGATGTTAGCATCTCTCAGCTATTTGGAGAAGCTAGCATTTCAACATTGAACATGATGCAGCTGGAATGAAATGTTAAGGATGAGAGAGATCCAAGGACTGTTTGGAAAGGGAGAAACAAATGGCATACAAATACAGTCTTTTTCACCTCTAGCTGTGTAAGGAAATAATCTATAAAATCTGCAGAAATCATTCACTGGGAATGAGTTTGCCTCCAGGGGGGGCAGTCTGTGTTGCCAGATTCTTCCATGATTCCAGGATTGAAGTTCCTATTGATCCTGACCACTATCAGAAACATGCTGATCTATATAATATTAATTAAACCATGTACTCACCCTAGTAAGTGTAGAAACTCCCAGTTGAATTAACACTTTTTGGGTTGGCCTTGCACTGTAGGATTCTTGTGTTGCAAGCAGAATTCCCCAGACACTGATACTTGTACCATGGCACAGATGATGTCCTGCCAGATGGAAAATCTGTCAACATTTGTTTGGGTAATGAAGTCTTACAAATATTTGGCTCATTGCCATAGTTGCTTGGCACGGACAGCAGAAAATGTAGAAGCTTCACTCATGCATCAGGATTCATCTGCTTACACTGAAATTTAAGGGGTGAAGAGTCATCAGGAGCAAAGGAACACTCAGGATGTTCATAGCCTTGAATTACGTGAAAATTGTGAGTGAATGCACTCAGAGATTCGTGTAGCTATAAACCAACTAATTTGGGTATTTATTTTAAAATTTCAGGATACCTACATGTCCAGCCAAAAGCCTTAGGTGCACTGCCATCTCACAGAAACTTGTCCAAAATAATACTGCATAAAGGCTTCTCTGGAGTTCAGCTTGATATTAAGACTCGTATTTGCAGTTTATGACTTGAGCTGTAGGAAGATTTTCCAGAATATTTCTGTTTCTGCATCCAGTAGACACCTATTGAAAGCTGCTTTTATAAACAGTAAAGGTATTTATGTCTGTCTAGCCTACCTCTCTCACAAAGTAAGAAATGTAAGAAGTGAGTTATCTTTCAGCCAAAACCTTCTGTCACGTTCTGCTAATGTTGACCAGTGGGCTTAGGTTTTACTGGGAGACTGCACAATGTGATAAAAAATATGTCTGGGTTTTTTTCTTCCCAGGAAAGGGAGGCAAATGTTGTGACCGACATATGGAAATAACCAAATTCAAAATGAAAAGTAGCAGGTTTATGACAAAAAGGAGTCAGTGGTCTCCTCGTATTATTTAATGGTTATCTCCTCTTACTATGGATTGTGTTCCAAGGCACGAGTAGAGATTTGTGCATGGTCAGTTGTGTTACTGAGCAGATGGATTTGTTTGCCATTGTACAACCTGGAGCTTTTATCAGAGCTTATGGCATTAGTTGGACCTAATTAATTGTCATCATCAACCCTGAAAGGCATGATTATTATGTAGCATTCTGCTCAATTGTTCACTAGTAGGGTAGGTCACTCTTTTAGCCACCTTTAGATGGAAGCTGGTGGGTTTGCTACAATTATTTGCAAAACCTGAGGAGTTAGAAAGGGCTTAGCTGACCTAAAAGTAAGCATCTTAAACATCACTCATCTAGATTCTTGTACATTCAGATATTGATTTCAGCTAAGACACTAAACATTGTAATAGTTGTGATGAAAACACTGAGTGTCAAAGACTGAATTATATCACCATGTTACTGGCCTTTGGATAGCCTTGCTGGATCTTTGCATGACTTCAAAGGTGTTGAATAGCACAGGGGCACAGGACTACCCTGACCTTTGAAGGTGCAGTAACATTTACTCACAGTTACTTTCTATCTTCCTGTGGCCTGAGAGGAGCTAGTGCTGTTTCACAGTGCTTAAAACTGCCCCCTAAAATGTCATTTTGTCTGGACTGTCTGCCAGTGTAGCAAGTACTGCTTACCAAGTTCTGCAACGCTGGTAGCTGAGACTAGAGGCCTTTTATAACTGGGTTTTAAATAATCTTATGTGAGTGGATTTTTTAAATTACCTTATGTGAGTGAGTTTTAAATTACCTTATGTGAGTGAGTTTTAAATTATCTTATGTGAGTGAGTTTTAAATTACCTTATGTGAGTGGGTTTTAAATTATCTTACGTGGGTAACGCTTGATCTTAGAAGTTAGTATCCTGGGCTTTGTGTTATCATCTCCAGGATTTTCTCGCTTTGGTGGGAATTTCATGTTCAGAAAGTTACAATTTTATGCTGCAGTAGGATCTAGCAGATTAAGTTTCATGTGTGCTCTCCTCAGTTGTCAGCCAAGAAAGCAGCGTTCTCTCCTGCATGAGTAGCGGCCGTGGCTCTAAATATTTTTGGTAATTTTTAATCTGCAGCTAATTCACTTCTGGGAGCAACATATTTCATATCTGTTAACAGAAAAAGCATCATAAATACTGAGATGATTTGCCAAATTCTGACTGTTTCCTTGACGCTTTTTGTCACACAGGTTCATAGCCAAGAACATCATGAGGCTGCAGCGTCTGGGGATAACCCACGTTCTGAATGCAGCAGAGGGGAAATCATTCATGCACGTGAACACTAATGCAGAGTTCTATGAAGGCACAGGCATCAGATACCATGGCATTAAAGCCAACGACACACAGGAATTTAACCTCAGTCGCTATTTTGAGGAGGCAGCTGATTTTATTGAGAAAGCACTTGCCCAGAAGGATGGTAAGGCAAAGGGAAATATCTTTCTGCCGTGTTTTTCTGTGCACTGCATGTGTTTCGTAGCAATTCGCTGTTTAAAATGGTTCTTTGCTCAGGTTATCAGCAGAACAGCCATTGTCAAGAATTCAGACCAAGGCCCTGGATCAAAGACACGAGGATACAGAAAAAGACAACTTAGTCTTCTGTTCATACATGTAGGTCTCCACTATGTGGCAAAGGGAAGTCTGTGGCAAAGTCTCTGTAGGGGTGACTTTGAAAAGGGGAACAGCTGCTGCAGCTTATAATAGTGCCTATCTGGGAAGATATGTTTTTATTTTTCCTTAGAAGTGTTAAATTACATGAAAAAATAATTTTAAAAAGTAAGTTCAGTGTCTAAAAGTTGGTATAGGACACTAGATCTTAAAATTCAAGGGCAGAAGTGATACAAGTAATGCACTGCTGAAGAATATTCAGCACCTGTTGTGTGGGTTTTTTCTAAATGTACAGTAAGGATAGGGACTGTCACCTTGCAGTTTTTATTACATTAAGTCATTACATTATTTTATGTGTTGATTGCCTCTTTATTTCATAGGATTGCAGGAAACCTGAAGATTATATTTGCAGTGTTGTTGATTGCCACATTTCTCTACAGTGTATTTCCCCCGAGCAGAAATCCTGGGACATAGTGCAGTGGGACAGATGGTGTTTGTCATCATCTGACTATTTCAACATACCAGTTATTTCTACACTTGCTTCATGACTGAGCGTGAAAAAGGAGGGATGAGTAGCCCAACAATTCCAGAAGTTCTTTCTCTAAAACGGGCAAAGGGCTACTGGAGCTGTGATGTGGAAGTAAATTTTACATCCAGCTTGGTGGAACTCACCAGCTGCAAAAGGACTGACATTATTTCACTTTCATAGCCAGGCTTCACGGACGAAGATCTGGGGAGGGCACGCTGGTGGCTAAAAAGGCCAATATGAGATAGACAAGTCTGGTTGCAAAAGGCACAGCAGAAGGACTCCTTATATATTTTTCCATATTTTGCTTTATACCCCAGCTGTTTCACGTTGCTTTTCGAGCACCCATTCCGGTCGTGGTAGTTTAGTCTAGACCTTCCTCGGTGACCAGTTTGTAGCCAAGGAAGTGCCCAGATTTTTACGTAAGCCAGGCTATAAGAAGAAAGGAGGAGAGGCCTTCACCCTCTCTTTCCTTTCAGCAGCTTGGAGGTGCAGGTTCCCTGCTGTTGAGTCTGTTGTGTTGGGGAGCGAGGCCTGGTAAGGCCTTGTCGACCTTGGGAGAGGGAGGTTGCCAGTGGTCGTTCCAGCATGACTTTCTGTTGTCCCAAGGAGAGTAGTAAGACAGTCTTTTGCTAATTCTTTTCGTTGCTAGATCTCGGGCTACTGATTGGGATATATATACATTTTATTTTGGTTTTGTTCCTTTTCCCTTCCCCCTTCCCTTTCCCTTGTGAAATTGTATATATATTTCAACTGTATATAACCCTAACATAAGTGTAAATATATTTATATATATATTGCTTTAACTGTCTCTCTCTCGTTTCGGTTTTCTCGGTTGTTTTTTCCCTCTTCTCCCTGAGGTTTGTGGGGGAAGGGGGACACACAACACACACACGACTTCTTGTGGTAAGGTTTGGAGACTCGGCAGGGAGCCAGCTTCAAACCCTCTCACGGGTCTAACCCCAGTCCCAACGTGTGCTCCCCCCAGGCCAGGTGTTCGTGCACTGCCGGGAGGGTTACAGCCGCTCCCCCACGCTGGTCATCGCCTACCTCATGCTCCGGCAGAACATGGACGTCAAGACTGCCCTTTGCACCGTCCGGCAGAAGCGGGAGATCGGCCCCAACGACGGCTTCCTCAGGCAGCTCTGCCAGCTCAACGAGCGGCTGGTGAAGGAGGGCAAACTGAAGCCCTAGGACGGGGAGAGAGCCGTAGTACTTTTTTTTTTTAAAGTTTCTCAGACCTTTAGAGGACATCTTAGGTGCTTTAGAGAGCCCCCCCAAACCCCAACCAGCCAGAATTCCTGCTCGTCCGGTGAAAGTATCGTTCTTGAACTCTGGGACTGCCTCTCGAGGTGGCACCAAATTGTGTCACCGTTTGGAGCTGTTGCAATAAAGAGGTGTTTTTAGAGGGATAGCTGTTATCACTGGAGTTATCTTCACGTGTATGTCAGAGCCCCTGAAGACTCCACAGCATATGTGGTTTGCATTGACACTGAGTGTGATTCATTCAAGCTTTGTCTTGTGTCTCACCAGAGCACGAGTTTCTGAAAGCCCCAACACGTCTCTTCACTCACTCTTTAAAACAAGCACTGTAATTTCTAAAGCTTCTTTTTCGTGCACAGAGGTGCCTGATGTTTGAATGTAGGAGCTGAAAGGAATGGAGAAGTGTATATATTTATGCACAGATGCACTGGTTTGTAAAATGAAGTGTGTGCAGTGTTTAGTGTGGATTTATGCAATACACAGTGTGTGACAGTAAAGCCATTCAGAGCCCATTCTTGATGCACACTGTATTTCCAAGAATAGTTGTACCTCTTGCTGTTGTGATTGACACGAAATAGTGTGTTATTAAATGCCCTTTTATTTTTGTTTTGAAGTCATACTAGAAAAAAATGTCAACAGCAAATGCTGAGGAAAAGACTTGAGCAAGGAAGAAAAAATGTTTGTATTTAGAAGTGCTTGTACTGGATGTATGATAAAGTCCTAAGTATCAGAATGTGATGGCTTTCAAAGTGTCTTTATTCCTTATTTACTGTCACTGTTTATCAACATAGAATAGAATGAGCACACATACTTCCAGCAGGGCAGCACAGGTGTGCTTTCAAAGCAGTTTGCAGAAGTATACTCTTGACTTCTTAGATTGCTTGCATGGTGTCATTAAACAGAAATGAGAATTGTAACCTACCACACTGTATAGGAAATATTTACTTCCTATTAAAATAAATGATGTCTGGATTCTGTTTGGCATACAGAGGAGCTGAGTCATTGCAATGTTGGGAGAGGGAGCTTTGTTTACAGTGTGCCTGACTTAGTGTTTAAATATGCACCTGTGAGTTGCAGGACTGTATTAATGCAAAGGAGCTTCCACTGCAAACTCGGAATTGTTGGTTAAACTAACAGAAAACAGGGTGTTCCCCTTTTAACCTGTGCTTTAATGTAGTTCTAGACTGAAAAATCTTAACCCTACTTTAAACAGAAACACTCTTCGTGTTAGTACCACATGTAACCCCAGAGCTAGTTTTGTCTACTCAGTTCAGTAATCAAAAATCACAAAGATCATACGTTGGTTTACTTCTGGTTATTGGGGTTGTGTGGTTTGGGGAGGGGGAGTGGCAAGGGAAAGTTCTGTGTAGCTTTATTGAAATTAAACTCCAGAGGTGATTGTTCTGCTTGAAGACCAGCCTTGTTCTGTTTCCTTGAACAGGATGGAACTGCCAAATCAAGTAACCTTTTCTCTTTTGTGTCCCTTAAAGTGACAAGTGGGGAACACTCTACATAATGTTTCCTGTCACCCCTCTACATTCAGTCAGTATTCAGTGCTTGCTTTGAATCAGGATGGTTCAGTAATAACGAGCAATAATCAAGTCCATGGGCTAATTACAGACCTGTTTGCTTTCTCCCCTTTTATCAGGATTAAATTAATTGCTTCTTCAAAATTCCTAGTTACTGATTTCATGCTGGGTGGCTTGGGAAATAGAATACTGGCCTTATCTTTTCTACAATACTGACTTTTTCCTACTGCAGTCTTACTTATAAATTATCCTTTTAAAATTTTTACTATGAGCATAGATTTTTATTTTTTTTGGTCTTGTCTCACACCATGTATTCTTAATACCTGTCTGCACTGCAAAGGAAAAAAATGGAGATTCATGTGCAGTCACTTTGTCTTTTACCTGTTACTTGGAATTCAAAGTTCCAATCCATTAAAGAGCTAAGAAACCATTAGGCATTAGAAGTTTGTTACCCTTCCATGAATTGTAAGAAGATAGGAGTTGTCAGATTAAAGCCAGAATGGTTTATTAATATTGAGTCTGTTCACCTTATGGCAATATTTTTGCACTTGGTCAGTATCAAGAACAAACCAAGACATTGGGGAATGTTTTTATATTCAAGATACTCTTTTACTTCACAGAACACTCTCACTTTAGTGGTAACTTCAGTGGTACTCTGGCCCATTTGTCTCAGTATAATAAAACTGACTGAACAAATGTTTTGTAATAATGAGGATGGAGAAGGATAAGTAAGACCATGTTATAAATTGATTTTACAAATTGAGACAATATGTCCTATTTTAAACTACTGATAGGCAACTCAGAAATGAAACCATTTCTGTCTCTGCTTTCAGAGTAGGCTAAAAATATTTAGAATGTCAGACCAGTGCTCCATTAATGGATCATGTTGCTGGCTGGCTGACTCACCAGATGGAGCTATAGGCTTGTTGTTCTTGCCTAGACAGTCATCCCTGGGTGCCTGAACAATACTATTGTATGAATCCAGTGTATGCTTATCACTGGAAAAGGCAAGCCACCAGGATGGTTTATCAGACTCTGGTGGGAGAATACTGAGATTCCATTTATTCTTGGCTGCTTGCATGAGATCACACAACAGCATTCAGGCTGTTGTGTTCACACTGTGATATGTGACACAGCAAAATTCTTATGAGGCACATAAAAGTTGCATGAGCAAGACTGTCTTAGCAGCATCTTAGAAAAAAACCTGTTTGAGAAGCAAATAAGTTCTTTATCACGTTAAAAACTGGGCTAGTATCCTTTCTGCTGTTGTTCTTTGCTGAGGAGGAAGATATATTGACACAAATTTGCTTTTCAACTCAGAGAGCTTGCAGCGTTCTTACACGCAGTGCTTTTCATCTCCTAGGCCTTTTATGCAGATTAATTAATTCTCACATCACTCACATCACCAAGCATAATCACGTTGTAGGAGAGAAGAGTGTCCAGTTCTAATACAGGCTTAGCATCCCAAAATGGAATTACAATAAAACATATTGTGGCTGCTAGTCCTGCATTTGGATGCTGTAATTCTAAGTCTGAAATAACTTCAAGAAATGTTCACTCCCCCTTTCTAACTTCATTAACTCTTAAGTACAAAATTCCTGGGCAGTGTGTAAAATATGAGCCACTGACCACAGATAAGCTTAAATTAAGCTTACAGCTTGGGGTCTGGATACAGAACAGAACCCCTTTGGCCCAGGTGTGGACAGAGTGAGCACCTGAAGTTAGAAGTGACAGAACCAACTTCAGAAACCGTTTTGGATGTGCCTGCCTTCACTGTAGCCTGGCAGTGCAAGCACTTTGGGACAGATGCCTGAGTCAGGAAGCAGCAGCAGCAGATTCAGGCGAAGTACATGATGCCAGTTCACCCCTTGTGCCTGCTCCCCTAATGGGTCTGATTCCTTCTTAGCAGAGTGGGCTGGTTTGGGCTGGGGTACAGTAAATTTTATTCCTGGTAGCTGCTGTGGGGCTCTGTTCTGGATTTGTGCTAAACACAGTGGTAATAATACAGAGATGTTTTTGTTGCCAGCATATCAGAGGCAAGTTACTTGACAACAGTCTGTATTAAAGAATTGGCTGAGGAGGAAAAAATCTTGTAAAAAAGAAAACAGTATGTTGTATTCCTCCCTGAAAACAGAGTAATTTCTGAGATGGGAAAGGAGGAAGGGGAACACTGTTGTATGTAACACAATGCATGATTTCTTTTAGACAAGGAAGACTACCACAGATGAGATTTTAAAACATGACACCTGAATACATCTTGGGCATAGATGCCCCAGGCATAAGGTCATCAGTTCTTTCTTTCTGTTGGTTGTATCATGACTGGAAATCAGTCTGGTCGTGTTCTTGTGTTCAAAATAAGCAAATGTCCTGTATTCAACCTTTGCACAGAATGTCAGCAGAAGTCGTAGTATGCACTGAATATAAAGCAAATGCAAACATTTGTTTGTTTGGGGTGTTTTTTCCAAGTGTTAAAAATGTAAGAGAGAGCACATCAAAAAGTATGATTTACAACATCCTGGCTGTTTACCCTGAAAAACGTATTCCAAACAGCTATTTTTAGGAAAAACTAAACAAAACAGCTTCTCACATTGAAATGAAGCTCTTCCCTGCTTCTTACACTATATTTGTGAAACAAAAGGCAGAGCTCCTGGTTTTGGAAGGGAGGAAAAAAGGTACCCCAAGTCCAATCATTTCCCTGCAGAGACTGACAAGCAGAACTACTGAGCTACAGTTTCTAGATTTACTTACTTTACACAGCGAGCAAGGGGAGGAGGAATAGCAAGAGCAAAAGTAAAAAGCCTGAAAAGCCTTTGGAAAAGACAATAGCCAGAAATTCAAACATGGATGGAGGTAGAAGCAGTTTTTAATTATAACATTGTTAGAAAAAAAAGCTGCAGAAAAGACTTGTTGGGTTTCAATTCATCCAAGTCTTGTCAATCACCATTTGTTGCCAGGCACAGAAATGAAGTGAATATGAGAAGTTTTTGCATAAGAGTTGTCGAATATTGTCACTAACCCACCCCCACACACCCATTTTATTTCACACTGACAAAAGCTGAGATGAATGAGTTGTGGTCTGGCCCTTCCCACTTCGTATAGTCATTGGCTGGCTTGGTTCTAAAAAGGATTTTAAAAAGGGGAATAATGTGCCTTTGCCTCGGATCTGAAGCTGTCAGGGTGCTGAAAAGCTGATCTGTGAGCTGCCACCATGCAGATCTCTTGGGCTGTGTGCGCTGTCTGTGTCTTGGCACAAATGGCATTTCGACCCGTGGAAGGGTGGCAGGTGTTTAAAAATGATGCTACAGAAATCATTCCTGAAATCACTGAGAACACAGAACCACCGATGGAGCAGACTTTCAGCAACAACAACACAATGAATCAGGCAAAACATGGAGGAAGACACATACAGCAAGCTCCAGACCCTAACGGTAAGAAAAAATATCATTATTACTGTTTTGGACCCTGAGAGAAAATTCGTGAAAGAATACTTTTTATGTGTTTGTTTATTAAAACTTTTAGCTGTGGCCCAAATGCCTTAAGTGATAAAGATTTACATCTACTGTTGAAGAAGTATGAATATAAAGGTCAGAAGGAATAGTGTGGGGTTTAGTGATGAAAACATGGTCTATCTGTTGAACATTCCTGCTCTGCCCAGTTGCTCTCTGCAATCTCCAATACATAAAACTTGTAGTAGATGTTGCTTAACATTTCTCTGTGGTTTGTGCTCTCAAGCATCGTGAGGAAATATCACAATTTTTCTCTTTAATGTTGGGATGAGGGAATGGGTTGACAGTGGAGATACAAGTTCTTAATATTTAGGAAGACCCACACTAGTTGTGACTGAGATCACACATCAAAAATGGCACATGGAGGTTGTGTTCAGCTACATGAGAGAAGTGTGCTGTTCACTGTCTTTTGCTAACAACCTGATCTTCCAAAAGATTCCAGCAGCCAAAAATGCTTCATAATATGTTGTCACATTTGACCAAACATCCAGCTTTGGCAGTGATGCAAAACGCATGTTTTGTGAGGAGAGGCAGAGGATGAGAAGCTAACACCCAGCTGAGAAAGGTAGTCTTTAAAAAGTTTTCCACTGCAGATCTGAATTATCCTTCTTTTTCTGGGGGCAACTGAAAGGCAATTGTGATTTTCTGCTGGAGCTGTCAGTGAAGGTGTTTAAAACATAGTATTAACAATATTTTAGAGGAGAAAGTAATGTTTTGAGAGTGTGACTTTAGAAGACTCTTACATTCCTAAGAGGGGGAGCACCTTGTTTCTCACAGTCAGCCCCACCAACCACCTGGTCACAGCAGGTTGGTTTTGTTGTTACATCTGAATACCTTCATTTTTTAGCCTTTTACTACTCTGACATCAACTGATGGGAATCTGCCCCACTTATATGTGTATATTTTTCAAAGTGGAAAGGACATTTACTAAAGAAATCAAGGGTAAAGGAGACTGGACAGTTATTCAAGATATACAATGGTCTTGCATACCTATTTTAACATCTTTAACACAAGGAATCAAAATTGTGGTCCAAAGTGGCCTGACCTTTCTGGAACAGATGATGTTGCATCAGCCCATGAATAATTTTGCACTGTGTTGAACCTACACACTTACAGGACAGGACATTTATGCACAGAAAATAAGCCTATAAAGCTGAGGCAAATGCCTGTATATTTAATTGTATATTTAATTGTACCTGTCTGTGTGTTATGGTGGTGCAATACACCTGATTCAAAGCATTATTTTTTTACAGACAGACATCATTTTCTTCAATGCTTAGGAAATTTGGGATTATTAGGCTACATGGACATGCAGTTCAGTTGTCACTATTTTTGTCAAAGCTGGCAAGGATTGTTTAATTTCATTAATGCAGTCCCTCACACTTTTAAAGAATAAAATCTTGCTAGCTGTACTTTGACAAACATAAATCTGAGCACCGAAAATCCTGTTTCTGTACTTCAGAGGAAAACCAAAAATTAAGGTGTTCCTCCAAATACTGTTCTAGCATTAATGACTCAGGGTCAGACTCCTCTTTTGCTGAACTAAGGGGGGAAGCACCTTGTATATGGTGAGGAGAATGGGCCTAACAAACACAGCCTTCTTTCTGGGAGCTGACCTTTGAAGGCTTTCACCACAAGCAACATTCCTGAGTTAAAACTGACCTTTTGCCTAAGAGAAGAACATTAACATGTGTTCATCTAGATGAAGTTATTTGACAAACACTTTCAAAAATCAAATTCTCTGTCTTCCAAACAGGTCAATTAGCCAAGCATGTCATTTGGAAAAAGGGGCACTTTTGAAAAAAGTTACATTCCTACAATTGGAAAGTTTGTCTAAGTCCTTAAAGCTAAAAAAATCATGTGTTTACTAATGTTTCATTTGCCTGTAGCTGTCCACTGAGAAAAAGGGGGGAGGGAAACTGTATAGTTCCTAATCAGCCAGAAGGTGCCTCTAGCTGTCTGAAGGAAATTATGTGGGACAGGTGGAATTATCCCAGAGAGCAGTAAACTTGGAAAAGCTGATGTCTGAATAGTGGGAATTCCTTAGAGCTGTTGTTACCTGCTATTCCTCTAACCTGGAACAGATTATGGTAGCTAAAATTCACTTAAGGAACACTTTCTTTGTCGCCAAAGAGTTTAAATCTGGAGTCAACATCTAAAGTTAAAGCAGAGCAGTGGGGGAAGGGGTTGCCCACAGGTAAATGAAGCCAGGAGAAAACTATCAAATTTCCCCATGGGGCTGCACTTCAGGAGCTCCACTGCCCCCCCTGCACAGCCCTGACACGGCATGCACCTCGCGGCAAGAGAAGGATCTCATTCATAAATTTGTACCATGTCATTCAAGGGGCTCATAATTAGAGCAGAAGCTGCGCAAGCGAGCGTTCTCAAATATTTCTCCCGAAAACCTTTCTGGTCGAGACATTTAGCTCGCGTCTGCCTCAGAGAGGGGTATCTCCCCTGGAAACACAAAAGATGGAGAAGTAATTAACGTGTTTCTTGCTTGCAGATGCTTCAAAAGATGGAGAAGTAATTAACGTGTTTCTTGCTTGCAGATGCTTCTGACTTCAGCTGCAGGGAGATGAGAACCACCCGCTATGTCACGGACGGGCCCTGCCGCAGTGTCAAGCCCGTCAAGGAGCTCGTCTGCTCCGGCCAGTGCGTCCCCTCTCACCTCCTCCCCAACTCCATCGGCCGGGGGAAGTGGTGGCGGCAGAACGCCCCGGATTATCGCTGCATCCCCGCCCACACCCGCACCCACCGCATCCAGATGTCCTGCCCCGAGGAAGAGACTCGGACTTACAAATTCCGAGCCGTCACCTCCTGCAAGTGCAAGCGCTACACCCGCTACCACAACCAGTCGGAGCTGAAGGACTTCGGGAAGGACAATGCCAGGCCTCAGAAGAACAAGAAGCCCCACCTGTCCAGAGCCAGGAGCAGCAAATCTAACCAGCACGAGCTAGAAAATGCTTATTAGGAGGTGGCTCTGGGCGACACAGACTTAGCAGCTCTGGATACTTTGCAAAACCGTCCAAAGGCACTCAGAGGCCACAGCATGACGTTCTGACTGCAGTAGGTTCCAATTCCTTCTGCTAAGCTGGGTCAAACGCTCACATAGGCAAAAAAAAAAAAATCTTTCAGATTGTAGCACTTATGGTCTGATAAGAAAATGAGACAAACCAAGCTGGAGGTAGCAACCTCTAAATTCAGTCTGAAAGGAGAGGTGCAGGTTGGAGGAGATTCACACGAGGTTGTGTGGCTTGTAGGAGCAGGCAGGCAGAGGAAAGGGAAGCAGTTATGGTGACAATCAGGCTTTGCTAGAAATCATTCCACCCACTTCAAGTGAAAAGAGCATTGAGATCCCTTTCCCACACAAGTGCCGTGATGCAGGACAAGCATCCAATTAGGGAAGCATCAGGAGAGTTCACACTCTCTGAATAAGCTGTAGAAAGTTAGGTATAGCAGGAATTTCAACAGTTATGGTGACTGAAGTCAAATTGTTGGGAAATGAACATTCTGTCAGATGTCCTCACGTACCAGGAGTTTCCTCCAAAACACAAAAATCAAAACACAAGTAAAAGCGTGACAAATCTGTTTCATACCTTTACCCAAGAGACTGTAGGATCAGCAGATTCAAAACCGAGATTTGGCAACTAAAACTATATTTATTTGATTTAGAAACAGTGGCTTGGTTTAGGAACAATTCAACAAATTCTACTGGGTGAAGCAGATTCATGAAATGCATGGTCCTCTCAAACCAGATAACCTCACTGATGTTTGTCCTGTAAACAGCTAGAGATGTGCAGAGTTTAACACAAAAGATACTGATTATTCCTGATTTCCTAGAACACATTTGACTTCAGTATCAGCTTAGATACCTCTATTTACATTTTCTATTCTGTAGAGTTTGGGTTATCTGGCCACACATTTTGCAGCCTTAAGACTGTGCAAGCCAAGTTCTGGGAACACGGTGGTGGTTCTGCATTAAAAGTGAGCCTCTGCTAATTTTGAAGTCATTAATTCCTCTAGAAAAAGTCTTTAGCATATGCAGCTTTGGTAAGTCTTTAGTTTGGCAGCAACTTTACTTAGCTTCTCAACACTCAGCCTAGTGTTTGTGTTTTTACATTAAAGAATACTATTAGAAAGTGAGTTGTCACATACTGTATACACCTGGTAGAATATGCTGAAATCATATAAACTGTGGAAATTTACGGTGTTGATAGATTTTTCAATTATTTTATGTGGGACCAGAACCTAGAGAGACAAGGTGTCGTTTGAGAGAGTGAATTACATATTTATTTTTTTTCCCAGAAGTTATTTATGCAATGTTTTTCCTTGTAGAAAATGAGAAGTAACACTGCTTTAAAAATATTAGTCTGTTATTTTTAATTTTAAATACATTGTTAATAAAGTAGAAACAATGACTAATTGTAGGAAGACTCATTGATTTTCAGCTCCAGTATAAAGCTGATTTGCTGCAAAGCCAGTGATTTTACAGAACAGTCAGGGTGTCAACTCCAATTTCTGTGATAGTGTCAAGGTCTTTAATTCTGATAACCTACACATCTCTAAAGAGACTCCATCCTGGAACTTCTTGCTCCAGTGGATGATATTTCTCATGGGAAAAGTTTTCCTGGGCAGATGAGTGTTCTCCTTCCCCTGGGGAAGAAAAACTTACCTGATTTCAGTTTCCCTCCTGCTCCCAGTGGCATTTCCAGATTCATATGTTCACAACCTGCTAAAGCCACAAAAAAACCCCAAGAAAACTGTGAACTACCAATCAAGTGCTGAAGTGAGAGAAGCAGTTCAGTTCCTCTGTTCTGCAGCTAAAGATACTGGAACACTGGTTTTAAAATGTTGACTGTGACCAGCCAGTGACAGAGACTTCCTCCACCTCAGTCTTCCTCCTGGCTCTCAGGCAGTTCAGAAGCACAGGACGTGCTTCAGGTGAACCAGCAATGTCTTTCTCCCAAATATTTCACCTGAAAGGTGTCCTCTTCCCCCCCAAAAAACATGTTCTCCCGCTCATTCTTGTCTACCAAAAGGGCAAACATTTCCTGCTCTTAAGCTGCCACTCAGAATCTTGCAGTTTTCTGACTTTCCAACGTAAGGACTGGTTCTTCCCAAGCTATAAAAGCTTTTACAAGAATCCCAAGGGACGGGGAGTCCTGAGGCACTTTTACTGCTGTAAACTGTAAACTGTAAACTTTCCTCTCAACCTCCATCCTGATTGTAGTGACTTCTCACTGGTTTCTTACCACAGGATAAAAGTGGAGGAGAAGTGCAGTCAGGATGTATGATTAGGCTCCTGAAGCAGCTGCCTCCAACCACCACTTCTGCAATTTATGTTATCAGGAGACTTAAAATTGTCAGTGTGCCTACTTTATTTGTTTTTTTTTTTTCTGGCAAAAATACAATTCTACTATCATTCAATAAAATAAAATAAACCTACAGACAGCAGAAACAGCCTGCTGGTGTCCACAAAATCCCAAAGATTCTGCGTGAGGTTCAACTCTTTAATTACAAATTGCACAGCAAAGGACATAACTTTACACCGTGAGGTCTTAGGCCGAGAAAATACGTTATGTTGTGTTCTGCAAGTGTGGTTGAGAAAGTCAGCATTGTGAAATATGGAGGGAATAAACACCTATTTTTTTAGCCATATGACATCAACTTATAATTAGCTTGTTTCACTCAAAATTAGTGCAGCGTATGGGCACGCAGAAGATCTTCTCTATAATAAACAGGCTCAAAAGTCTTAAATTATCATATTTATATGTAGCTTGAGTTTGGATTGAACATACTGTGCAGATGTAACCTGAAATTTGAATAATCTGGAACTACTCTTGACAGGCAAGGAGAGAAAGTCCACTTTTAAAATAACATTTAAAATAAAGCCAGTACAAGTTGCAGCACTTGCAACACAGCTGATGTTGTTCAGGTGTACAAAAAACAGTGCAGCTGCTCCCCTTTCAGTCTTAGAGCCATCAAAGGACAACTCAACACCAAGTTTTTTCCAGTTATATACACAGGGATTGACATTTCTTTCCTGTTCCTGGAACTGTGGGAGCAGTTTTGACACCGAATGTTGGAGAGCTGGAACATCAAGCTGCAGAGTTTCATGGACAAACCTCATGATGCCTTGTAGCCACTTCATTGAATTAGGAATATGATGCTTTGCTGTATTTTTTTTATACCCAAATGAATGTTATTCTCACTAGAGTACAATAAACACACTGTGCCTGAAGACCAAAGGGAAGGATGCAATGCTGATTCTTCTATCTTTATTAACCGTTTCTGATGCTGTTTCATGAACCAGCTATTTCTTTGAATCCTAAAAGCTTTCACTTTTCTTTTAAGAGGACAAGTTCTTGCTCTGAAAACAGGGTAATAAAAGTAATCAGTAAAACCTGAGCAGAGATAAAACTCATCAGCACACACCCTGCTAATTCTGAAATAAAAGCATAGCAGACACAAAGAGAATCTTCAAAACACCTCATCTCTACCACATCACAATACATGGCTAAACTGGACACTTCCAGGGATGGGGCAGCCACAGCTTCTCTGGGCAACCTGTGCCAGGACCTCACCACCCTCACAGGGAAAGGTTTCTTCCTAAAATCTAACCTAAGCCCACCCTCTTCCAACTCAATTTAAGACCATTGCCCCCTCTGATACAAAGACCTTCCCCCTGTTTCCTGTCAGCCCCATTTTAGGTATTGGAAGACTGCTCTAAGGAATTCTGGAGCCTTTTCTTTTCTCTTCTCCCTTTTTTCTCTTTTCTCTTTTCTCTTTTCTCTTCTCTCTTTTCTCTTCTCTCTTTTCTCTCTTTTCTCTTCTCTCTTTTCTCTCTTTTCTCTTTTCTCTCTTTTCTCTTTTCTCTTCTCTCTCTTTTCTCTTTTCTCTTTTCTCCTTTCTCTTTTCTCTTCTCTTTTCTCTTCTCTTCTCCTCTCCAGGCTGAGCAGCCCCCAACCCTTTCAGCCTGTCCTTGCACGGGAGGTGCTCCAGCCCCCTGATCATCTTTGTGGTGCTCCACTGGACCCCCTCAAGGAGGTCTGGGCTTTTCCCAGAAGCCCCCAGAACAGGACACAACACTCCTGCTGGGGGGGTCTCACAGAGTGGAGTAGAGGGGGAGAATCACTTCCTTTGACCTGCTGCTCACGCTGCTTTTCCTGCAGCCCGGGATGGGATCGACTTCCTGGGCTGGGAGTGCACCCTGCTGGGTCAGGTTAAGATTTTCCATCCACTGATATCCCCAAGTCCTTCTCTGCAGGGCTGCTCACGACCCACTCACTGCCCAGCCCGTTGCCAGGTGTGGGACTGCCCTGGCCCAGGTGCAGGACCTTGCACTTTGCCTTGTTGAACTCCATGATGTTCAACACAGGCTTTTCCCTCTGGCCTGTCCAGGTCCCTCTGGATGGCATCCCTTCCAGAGCATCAACCACACTGCTCAGCTTGGGGTCATTTTGGGTACTTAAATACTCCTGTCTAAGCCTTTAATCCACCCCAACCCTGCCTCTCCCAGGGGCTGACAGTGATGAAGTTCACAGCACAGCCACTTTAACCATCTCAGGTGGGGCAGTGTGTGATGTGAATCCCTTTTTTTGCCCCATATTGGCTGCTCAGATTCCAGCTGATACACATGGGGCTGTCACAACACTTCAGAACTTGCACTTTAGATTGAAACTGTGAATTTGTACAGCACCCAGGATGTGAAAATGTCGTTCTATTCTTGGTGTCCACAAGGCTAATAATCATAATTTTCATCTCAAGAGGAAGTAGCACTAACTCCTTGACTGAATTACAAATCCAAAGTCACACATCTCCCTACTGAAGACTCCCACATCAGACTGTTTGTAGTATTAACCTTAAGATTTCTTGTTCGTGGCTTTCCAGCCAATTTAAATATAGCCTCAAACCAAGAAATAAAAGGGTATTTATTCCATGGTTATCAAGCCCCCAAATTAAACAGACATT